CGTACTACGAGTCTCTATCCAGCGATAATAATAAGAGCGGTACCGCTACTTCTGCCAACAATAGCGGTAACAACAATAAAGTTAAAGCCGATAGAGGAGGATTTGATTGGGACCTCAACGCCGATCAGAGATTGAATCAGCAAACCAATCGGACTGGGAACTTATTTTCTTCCTCCATGGGTTTGCAGCGGCAATCGAGTGGGAGCAGCTTCGGAGAGAGCTCCCTATCTGGGGAGTACTATGTGCCTACGCTGTCTACTTCTGCGGGAAACGAGATCGATGCATTTGGATACGTTCAGGATGAAGGGTTTAAGTTCGTTGTGGGCGGGGGAGGAGAGTTGAGAGCTAAAGCGGCGGAGGCGGCGGGCGGGTCGTCTTCTGGGAAGAGCTGGGCACAGCAAACAGAAGAGAGCTACCAGTTGCAGTTGGCGTTGGCGTTGCGGCTCTCGTCGGAGGCCACTTGCGCGGACGATCCGAATTTTTTGGATCCGGTTTTTGATGAGTCCGGATTGAGAACAGCCTCGTCCAGCTCGGCAGAAACAGTGTCGCATCGGTTCTGGGTAGGGTTATCCCTGGTCTTATATTAAGAGTTTGATTCTGTTTTGGATAATATATCGGGGGTGCTTGTGAGTTTGTTAGTATCTCTTTGAATTATCTATGAACTATGCTGCACTTTATCTTTGTATTGGGAATTGAATGATAATCATTTCAGGTTTTCTAAAATGTAGAATGCTCTGAGCTGAAGAGATCTAGTTTCTAGAGTTATTAAACGCACTAATTAGAATTAGGGGGATGTGGTTTAAGTTCAATCTTGGTGCAACGCTGCAAGGTATTACTTCAGATTGTCTAGTTACTGGTGAAATATCCTTCATATTTTCCTTTTGTGGAAATGGATTCAACTATCCTATATGCAGCATGTCTTGCTACATTTCTTTAGACAGGCCTAAATGTCTATGTTGCTGGCGTTAGACACTAGTTGCGTCTATGTTTTACATTTGCACCTGTCTTATAGACATAAGTAAGCAAACTAAGAGTTATGGGAAAACAACAGAGAATTCACAACGTGGACACAATTATATAAAGAATGAATGCTGTTTGGAAAAAATTTGGAGACATAGTCTTACTGTTGAATGATTGGAGAGGCAGTTTTATGATGGAGACAGAGAGAAAAAGAATTGATGATAGAAAGGCAAGAGAGTAAATGTATAGATTTTTCTGCAGTTAAAAAAGAAGAAGATGTTGTAATGAAAAGGAAAGTTTAGCTTACTCCTGCTCAAAAAGTATGATTCTATAGCCTACATAGATCTAAGGTTGAATTTTGTTATTGATCATTATTAAACTGTTGCTGGCGAGTATTGCTTGCGTGAATTTCTGAGGCATATTTGGGAGGTCTATGTTTTCAAAGTTGACGTTGTTGCTGCATGCAAACAGAAAGAAATGATTAGTTTGATAGAAATGATGTTGTTCGTGTAAAAAAGGATCCTGTAAGAATTTATTGGTTAAATATGTTAGTCTAAAGTGAACATATGATAGTTGCTTTCTCTTGAGAAATGTGTGCTTGTCTGGGAAGTTATTAGCGCTTATTATCCTTGGTTGATATATTTTATTGAGAAAATATTGTTTTGAATAACATATGAAATTATGGAATTGCTTTTAACAATGCTAGAGAAAAGGTGGCATGCGGTTCTAGGAGTTATATAGAATTAGAGGTTACCGGTTCTATGACCTGAGTGTTCTGTTGACAGTTAAACACGTATTTGCGAACTTACCTGTGTCTATCATGTCTTTAATGTAAAGTTAGTGATAAAAAAGCGGTCTAGTAATGTTAGGGAGTTTCTTTTAATTAACATAGTGGAAATGACCCAATTATGATGTGCATTCCATTTAATTTCAAGTATGAAAAAATTCATGACAGTCGGTATTAAGGCTTTTCCCCTCCTAGTTCGTAAAAGGTGTAAATATTTTATCATACCTTTGCTGATGTGGTTACAGTT